CCCCGCACGCTTGTACCGGAGCTGCCCTCGAGTGCCTCGTGCTGCTGCCGCTGTAGCTGGGAGGTGTGAGATGCAGCCAAAATTCTCCAGTCCGCTCTTCTGGAGAGGAGAGCGAGGGCAAAACCGTCTTGAGCCAAAAAAGCAAATGTCCAGCCATCCTTAGTTTGGTTTTAGGTCTGCGCCATGAAGATATTTTTCCATTCCCCATCTCGCTGCCGGGTTGATGGAGGCTGGGGCAGGCAGAGTGGCTGGTCCTGGTGGTGTTTCCCACGAAGGGAGCATCCTCTCTGCTGCCTACCAGCGCCTTGCACCACTGTTTGGAGGTTATTTTTATTTTAAAAAAAGGCATTTGGTGAAAGCCAGCCGCAGGATGCTGGGGCAAGCTGCGCAGCTGCCTGCGCGACCCAAAGCTGCTCGCCCGGAGCGTGCGGTGGGGACACCGGCTCACGTTTAACGGCAGAGTAAATCCCGCCAACGGGAACCTGTTTTTCATAGTTAATAGAAACCATCGCTTGTGCCGGTGAAGCGTGGCAGGTTTGGGCGGGTGGCAAACTGGGGCTCGGCTGATGCCCTGCCACCTCCCGGGGTATGGTCTCGCCGTGGCGCTGGGAGCCTTGCAGGGTGGGATGCATCGGGCTGCGGCGCCTTAGCCCAACTTCGAGATGCTCTTGGAGGCGGCTCAGGCTTGTCCAGCAACGGGGATGAGGAGGAAGAATCCCATTGCAGCATCCCGAGGGCTGCCGTGCGGACAGAGCATCCAAAAAGCTCCCCGGCTTCCCAAACCTGCCCTTGTTGGGTGCTGCCTTTTATTACCAGGGGTTCCCCGGGGCCGGGGGCAGCGGCGTGCCGTCGGCGGCGATTTCGGCCCGCCGGTTCTGCGCCGGCTGCTCTGGTTTTTCAGTTCAGCCCCCGAAACCCTTTTTTTGGCCTCGATGGTGCCTCACAGCTCCTCTCGGGTCGGGTCTGCCGCAGGGCGGGGGGCAGGAAACGGCTCGCCGCACCCTGCTCTCGGCAAACCTTCACGCCTAGCAAAGACCTAAACTCTGCATTAAAGAGGGTAAATAAATAAAAGCACCGGTCCGCGGCTCCTCCCAGGGCTGTGGGACGAGCAGAGGTGAGTCGTGTTCCCGGCTCAGCTGGCCTGGGAAAGCAAATTTGGGTGACACCAAAATGCTGGCGGGGCAGCTCGGGATGCTCGGGTGGCTCCGGGGACCGGGGAGCCGCTCGGTGCAGCCGCGCCGGTGCCTCTTCCCTGCCGCTCTTAAATGCAATTAATACGGCGGAATAACCTGGTTTCTTCCTAAGGATTAGGTTAAGAAAACAAGACTGTTCTAATAGCCCTTTTACATCCTACGTAGATTGTAGCTGAAAAACCTAACTGGTTTGGCAGCGCAGCCAAACAGCACATCTTTTTCTTTTTTTCCCCTGCTTTTTCCCCCATAACCTGATGGCGGTGGCCCTGCCCGAGCGGGCTCCTACCGATAATTCAAGTGCCCAGCTCCTGGCTGTGCTGTTTTGTCCGATTTCCATTGCTTCCTGACCTCCATCCTTCTTTATTTGCAAAGCTATACTCGCAGGCAGCGGTAATAAATCAATTAATGACTCTGATGAATCGTTTAATGGCTGACAAAATAACACTACAGTCAACAGCTTGGATCTCTACAGCAGTACCAGAAGACGCTGGTTGACTCAGGGTAGGGAGACGAAACAGAGACTGTTAGCTCAATTAGTGCAATTAGTGTGCGATTTAAAGGCTTAGACGGCATCTGCTGGCGTACCAAGCCGGTGTGTTAACTGAGAGCTTCGTTTTGGAAGCGAAACACGGCGATCCAGATTGTCATTGCTCCGCTGGCTTCCACCAAAAAGGGGGAAAAAATCCAATGTATGTGGGAGAAAAAAAAAAAAAAAATATATATATGTATGTGTGTGTGTATATAGCTATATATGCGTGCCCCAGGAACTGCATTTTATTTCCAACATGGAGCAAATTTACCATCTAATAAAAGGCAAACGAGCCGGCGTGCTGGCTGTGCCAGAGCTGTCCTTGCTCATCTCCAGCAGCGGTCTCCGGCGTGCTTTGGTGGAAGGAAATTTGGTGCGTCGCGTGCCAACGGGGACCTTCATGTGGCTGGACGTGCTTTCGGCTTACCGCCAGCTTGGACATGGTGGCACAGCCGGGCTTCATGCTCCTGCACCGCGCCGGTGCTTCCCGTCTCCTGCCGGCTTCCGTGGCATCTCCGTCGCGCCCGTACCTGCGCCGGGGAGGGGTATTGGGGGTTTTTTAGACATTCACCCGGTGAAAGGGGCTTGGCAGGCAAAGTCCAGCTGAAGTCTCTGGAGTCCCTAAAAAAGAGTTTCTGAGCCAAAATGGTGGAAATAAGCCAGGTGGGGAGAGCTGGAAGGGCAAAGAAGTCCTGGTTTTCTGGAAATGGCTGCTGGAAAGCCCTTGGGGTTTGGGTTCTCACCCTTGGGGTTTGGGTGCTCACCCTCGGGGTCTGGGTGCTCACCCTTGGGGTCTGGGAAATCTGTTCCCAGTGTCTTTTTTTTCCCCTTTTCCTTTCTTTTCTGGCACATCCCAAGGGTTTTGCAGAGCTGCTCCAGCTGCGGCTGCGCTCCCATCGCTTGTGTGGGGCTAAAGGTGCCTCCGTGTTTACCTTAGCGGCAGTGATGGGGAGGGGAATAAAAAAGAAATAAAATGTCACTTCGCAGCCTTGTAAATCATTCATCAAGGGCTGACCAGTTTGGCTCCCATCCTACAATATGCTCAGGGCACTTGTGGGTTTTTAATTACCGAGTTCTGCCAAGCGCCACATGTGCGAGGAACTTTAAATCCCCGTTTATGCCGCGAAGGCATAGGTGAGGTTTTGGGGTGTTTAACGCTGAAAAATACTCTGCGGTTTTGGGGAAAAATGGGCATTTGCTTCAAGATTTTCTTTGGCTGCTTTGCCCTCCTCCCTCCACTCCCTGTTGCAGAGGGAAGGAGGAGGGCAGTGTACTTTCCCCCTGGATCCCAAAATACGTGTCCATCCTCACTCCACACCGCTTTGGGATCCGTTTTGCTTTGGGAGATTCCCCCAGCAAAGGATTATGGTGTGCTGGAAATCTCTTGAAACCATAAAATATCACCTTGGCAGCTTTATTGCAGCGCTCGCCGCCTTGGGAGAGAAGCGTTTTGCGTGATAGAGGGTTTAATAAAGGAAATTCCAAATGGGCTCGCTGCAGTTTGGGTCTCGGTCTTACATATTTTTGCATTAAGAACCGTCATCTGCTTTGCAGAGAAACTGCAATATGTTCATGGCCTTGGATTAAGATTTGGTTTTACTTTTATAGCTGACCCACTTGGGGGGATGGAGGGAGGGGGAGAACTGGGTTCACTCCCTCTCCCGTCTATTTTTGCTGCCGTCTGATGTATAAAAAGAGCCTGGAATGGGCAGGCTTATTTTTCCTGCCAGGACTTTTTTTTTTATTAACTGTAAAAACACTCAGATCTGGCCTTTGCTGTTGATGTGAGGAAGGCTGCTTGGGATGCCTTTTTGGGGGCACGGGGGGAGCATGGTGTGGGCTGTGCCCGGAGGCGCAGGACCCCATAGCCACAGGGGTTATTTCGTGAAGGGGGGGGTCTCTTTTTGGGGAATCAGCCCGTGCCGTCGTCTCCGGCGCTTCCAGCTCTGAGGTGCTGGGGTGGGAAAAGCAACTGCTTGTCCAGCATGGTCATGGCCTTCATCCCGCATCCTGCAGGCTGGCTCCTGCCGGAGAGCGTGATGGAGGGGGGCACGAGAGGTGGTCCCGGCAAGGCACAAGGCAGCGCTTAGTCCTTAATAATAATCCTTAATTTTCCGGGCTGCCCAAGTCCTGACACCCCGGCTTCTGCCCTCTGCTCGCATCTTGTGGTCGTCACCACATCGGATGCGGTCGGGGACCGGGGCTGGCTCGGCTGCTGTTGGGATACGGGGTTTGGTGGAGTTGGGGTGCTCTGAGCTTTGGGGTAAAACCAAAACATTTTTTTTTTTGTGGTGGACAATTTTCCTTGGCCCTGCCACGTTGTTTTAGGTGGGTAAGTGCACTGTAAAGATTCGTGGAGGGAGTAGGTCAGTGATACAAACACAATTAATATCCCTCGTAACTGCTCTGGGAATGGGGGTTCGTTTGGTGATGGGTAAACGCGAGTGCCCTTCAACGGCACGGGTACCGCTCCTAACCCAGCAGGGATGTGTGTCAGCAGGGATCTTCAGGGAAATATCTTTTTCTTACCATTTTCCTTCTGGGCAGGAGCCTCCTGTCGTGCTGGTGCTTTCCCAGCGTGGTTTGGTGCATGCCACCCTTCCCTCAGCACTGCCGGAGCTGCTCCTGGCACCAGAAAAAACCTCTTTTGTCTGTCAACATACACCACAGAGAGGAAGTAAATAGGAATAGAGGTGCTGAGCAGGAATGAGTGGTGTGTCTGGGTACCCTGTCCCTCCTTTTCAGGGCTGGAGCCACTTGGGTGGCTTGTCCTGGGGAGGTGTGAGGGGGAGCATGACCCCACAGATCAGGTGCGATGAATTTGGAAATTCACAGTAAAACTTTGGCATGCTGGTGAGGTCCGGGAGGCATCTTTTTCAGAGGACAGAACTGAACCGGTGAGCGTGTGGGGGGAGGTGAGGGAAGAGAAGCATTTAAAAAGCCTTAAAAGAGCTTCTGCCTGAAGTGACACGTTGGATGAGGCTAAATGCCTGGGTAAATGAATAAATAAGCCCCAGAATTATCCCTGGGTTTTTGTGCAGCCATCTTCTCCATGGATGAATCACAGAGGCTTGTGCCCCTCTGGCTCCGAGCATCCTCTGCTCATTCCCCCGTGGGGGGAAGATGCTCGGGGCACGGGGAGCGGTGCTCGAGGCTCTGGAGGTAACAGGCTAATTGAGTCAGTGTGGTGTGGCAGGACAGGCGGCTTTTTTTAATGTGTTTTTTTTCTCAACTCCGACTCAAACCCACCATGTTTGTCCTGGTTTTGTTCCCCGCAGAGCGCAGCTGCCGCCCCGAGTCCCGTGCTTGGAAACATTCCCCCGAACGACGGGATGCCGGGGGGCCCCATCCCTCCCGGTTTCTTCCAGGTAGGCTCCCGCTCCTCCCGATGCTCGTCTCCACACCGCGCACGTGTTTGCTTACGCTCTGGGTGTCAGCGCTGTCGTGCCTGTGTTTTTTTTTTTTCCAAGGGGATGCTAGGGAAGCAGCATGCCCGCGTAGCTGACCTGTCTAGGAATAACTTGTGTTCTGCTGTCCTTCCACGTTTGCTTTCTATTTTTTGTGGCCTTAAAAGCAAATTTTGTTCTTGCTCGAAGAGGTTACTGTGTATTTACAACTGATGTTTTTTTCCAAAGCTGCTTGGTTTGTGTTTGGGTTGGGATTGTATTTGTTCTCCGGTCCTAACAGACGTGCATAATTGAAAACATTCTGGATTTTGATTCCTGAAACTTTTTCCCCCTCCTCTGGTTAACCACTTGATTTTTTCCAAATGCAATCACTGAAAGCATTAACAAACGCTGGCTGTGGCTGCAGGCAGGAGTCGGCTCCAGCCAAGTCCCCGAATGCCGTGGAGGCACCTTGTAAGCAAATACCTAGCAAAGTCCCCAAAGTCCCCTCTCTCCTTCCTTCTCCCATGCTGAGCTCTGACCGAGGAGGGGGTAACGTATGTTTGGAGTGACGCTGACGGAAAGGATCTCGACAAGCACACAGAAAAGGAATTTTCAAAACTTGAACCGTGGGGGGTTTTAGGGGTTTCTCTGGAATCTCTTTGCACGGCGCGAGCTGCACTGGTTTGCAGCGGCGTAAGCTCTCGGTACGTTAAAATCTTCCTTCTTGAGGAAGAAACACTTGTTCGTGTAACAAATGGGATAAGAGTTGAAAGGAATATTTGTTTTGGCAAGCTGTTTTTTTTTTTATCTGGGCTTGTGATTTGTATATGGGAGAACTTCTCAGGCAGTAGACAGGCAGACTCGATAAGGCGCTTGTGATTTATTGTGGCGATATCTGAGCCCGATATCACCGTTTGTGTGTGTATGGGAAGGGGGAAGGAGGGTCCTGTCTTTTTTTTTTTTTTTAGAGAGATCCCATTTCCTGAACATGTTTCTGACAAAGTAAGAATATCCGATATTGATCGGGAACCCTAAAACAGGCAAATCTTGTAGCAGCGCTCGGCGGCACGGGGTGAAGCCAACAGCAGAGATGCTATCTCGCAGGTCATAGCTGCTGCCAGCAATTCGAGTGCCAAGCTGCTGCTTCCAAGAAATGTGTCTCCAAAAGTCCTGATCTCGCCCTGCGGCGAAGCTGACTGTCCTTTGGGGCTCCTGCTTCACGCAGAGCTGCGAGGGCTGCAAAACTGGCACGAAGTTAGGGCAAGGCTTCAAGAGTATGGGTTGGCTTTGCCCGAGAGGGGAAGGTGAGGAAGAGGAGTCGCATCTCCCCAGACATGCTGTACATGCACACACAGCTCTTCCCATGGACAGCCTCCAGGCTGTCCCCCCTGCTTTCCTTTCTGCCCTCCCATAGCATTTTTGCACTGAGGGTCCGATGCAGGAGCAAACAACCCATCCTAGCTCCTTACCTCTCGTGCGGCTGGACCAGGAGCCTCTGGGGAAGGGGGTCTCGAAAGCTTTCTTAGGACCTTCGGGGTGGGGGGAGTGTCCCGAAAACCCAGCAGAAGTAATGGCACCCGTGCAGGTGTCGTGTGCGGGGATGCTGCCCATCCCCGGAGCTGCCGGAGGGAAGAGAGGACGGATGCCGATGCATATGGCTCGCATGTGACATCTCAAGAGCCTGCCTTTCCTGAAAGCCCTCCAACATCTGGTTTCTCCTCCCAGCCCTGGGGATGGAGGGGAGGAGGGGAGAAGAAAAATCCCACCTTTTAACACAGTCTGAACATCGCCTCCATGAAAGCCCGTCTGATTTATTGCGGGTGCTGGAGCTCATTCCAGCTTCAGGAGGTGCTGGAGACCAGCTCTTGCAGAGGTGGGCTGGAGGCTCAGCCACGAGCTGGTCGTGGCTCGGGTAATTCCCTGTCTCTGTAGGAAATTAAAGCGCTGAACTTAAGAGGGCAAAACCAAAAAAGGTCACAGGAGATGCAAAGGACTTCTCCCTGACCTTGGTGTGCCAGCCCTGGGAGTGAGTGAGGTTCCTGGTGGTACCACCTTGGATGGTGCCCTCCTCATGCCAGGAGACCGGAGGATGGAGAGGGCTCGGGGGTTTTCAGCATCTTGCTCTCCTGCACCATATTGCAGGCAGCAGGGACCTGCAAGGGATATCCCTGATGGCAGAGGGCATAGGCAGACTGCTTTTGAGAAGCTTTAGAGGGCCTGATCCTGTCCTGGCATGGTGGGGCACCAGGAGATTAGAAGGGAGTCACCGGTGAAGCCCCGTGCTGCTGCCCTGGGGGTGCATGAACCCTCCCCAGCCCCACGCATTTGGATGTGCACTGCTGTTTGGCAAAGGGAAAAAAAATGACACGGACCATTCCTGGGAGCTAGTGGCCCAAAAATCCGTGGGAGTGAGCTTGGAGGAGAAGTGATACGCTGGGAAGGGGAGAAGAGAGGAGGAGTCCAGGCTGCAGCGCCCGTCCGCAGCTGCTGTCTTGCAGGGAGAGTCCCTTCCTTGCGCTGGGGCTCAGCAGCGACCTTCGGGCTGGGGGCCAAGGGAACTGCAGCCTGCAGAGTCTCCCAAAACCTTCCCAAAATGATGGGAAAGGAGAGGCCCTGGGCGCCCTTGGGGTGCCGGGGCATCGCGTGGTGCCAGCCAGCGGCACGGCATCGGGCTGCGCTCCGGACAAAAGGTGGCTGGGTTGACGGCCGGCGTGGGTAGATGCTTTTATTTAAATCTCTCTCTTTGTCCCATTGAGATGAGCAAACAAACCCTTTGCTCATCCTCCTAAAGGTCATCAGAGGCGTTCCTGCTTTTGTTTTGAAAGCTGGATTGATGCCGGGGTGCAGATCCCTCAAAGGAGGGACGGGGGGGTGGGGGGGTGCCAAGGAAATGTAGGAAGGAGAATTAAAAATTGAAAGCAATTAATACCACACCTTCTTAAGACTAAATAAATGGGGAGGGGGGGCAGTCAGCAGCCCCCCACCGCAGCCATGCCTCCTCTCCCCAGTGCAAACTCCCCGCGCCGCCCCGTACCCCGCGCGCTGATGAAATGGAAAGTTGACCATAAATCAATGTCGGCGGCTGCGTTAGCTATGCATCAGCGGCTCGGCGCCGAGATGCACCAAAACAAAGCGCCGGCTGCTCGGTGTTCCCACACTGCCCCCTAATGCAGAGAGACCTCGGGAACTGGGGAGGACGGGGGGCTCTGGAACTCGGGGGGCTCACCCCCCCGACATCCCCTGCCCTCCCTGCCTCTCCTCCCTGCACCCCGAGGCACGTCTCTTCGGGTAAGGTCGCCCACCGGGGTGAGGATGGGAAAGCCAGGGGCAATAGGAAGAGGTCCACGTTGTCCTGCTCCCTCCTTGGATGCCACCATTTTCCCCCTGCTCGGCTGCCCTGACATCTCGGTGGGATTCGCCACCGCTCCGCGGGTGCCGCCAGCTGTGGGCAACCAGCTCCGGCGAGGTGGCACGAGAGTCGCAAAACCAGGTTGCCCTTCCCAAAATCCCAGGGCAGAACTCGGTATCAGCCTTGCACCAGACAGGGTTTGAAGGAAGGTGGCTTACGAGCTGGAGGAAAGGAAAAGCAAGCGTCGGAGAAAGTTTTTTTTCTGGAAGTTTAGTAGGATGCCCGAGGCTTTTGTACCGAGCGTCTGGAGCATATGGTGGGATTTGCAGTCAACTTTCTCTCGGGTGCTCCAGCCAGATGGAGGTGACTGTTCTTGGCTTCGGCTGACATGGGTTTGTTTCCTGAAGAGCTTGTGTTAAACATATTCTTTAAAACCAGGCTTCTGCAGTTGGGAGCCCCAGCTGCAGGCGAAGCAGAGCTCCTGCCCACGGCTGCCTTCCGCCGTCTGCAGGGGAACTTGGCCCGCCTTGCCTTGCCTTGCCTTGTGTTGCCTTGCCTTGCCTTGCCCTGCCTTGCCTTGCCCTGCCTTGCCCTGCCTTGCCTTGCCTTGCCTTGCCCTCTCTCGAGAAGGTGCGGTTGGGTCCTCACCCGGCACCACGTGCTGGAAGGCGACCGGGTTCCTCTCCGAAGGCACCTGGAGCATCTCTCCAAAAGGCTCCTTCAGGGATATCTTATTTTTTTGTTGACAACTTGCAAAATTTCCCTCTCCTTCGGTAGAAATAAAGCTCCTATCCAATAGACCCAGGCATGTCTTTAATTAATCTCCATCCAATTTATTTCAGTATTTTCTAATGTCAAAACCAATAGGCAGGGGCAGGTATTTTACAACACAAGATGCCTTCCTATTGCTAACTCTAAATTGTCGGTATCTCGTGGCAGCGATGCTTTGCCTTCTCATACCATCCTGCATTGTTCTGCCACCCCCAGAGGTGCTTGAAAATGTTTTTAAATAGAAAAACTCCCCCATTAGCTGAAAGTATGTAGCCCATAAAACATGATCCATTTGTGGTGAATTACGCTGGAAACATAAATTGACACACGCAGAGCTATGATAGCTCGTGCCATTTTCCATCTTTAATATTTTACAAGAAGTTTGAGGAGTCGACCTCGTGAAAGACGGAGTGGAAATAACCTGATCACCTGGAAGCTCCCCGTAGAAAGCAGCAGCAGCAGCAAACTTCAGTCGTCTGACGGGCCAGGTTGGGCTTTTAAAGTCCCTGTAGCGTAGAGGGGAAAAAAAAATGAAGCAGAGAGGAGGCTGGGGCACTGAGAGGTGTCGGAAACAGTTTCCTCTAACGCCGTTTTAGCTGTTTGGGGTTCGTCGTTGGGGGTTTTTTTGAGGCAGCTACAGGAAGGTGAAGAATAACCCCCCGTGCAAGGCACCCAGTTTGGAGGAAAAAAAAGAAAAAAAAAAAAAAGAAAACTTGAGAGATGATGGGGTTTCTCGGGTTGGGGAGAGCGCTGGTCTTGAGATGAGAGTGAATTAGCTGCAGAGCGGGTCCTGCTCGCCCGGCGTGGCGTGTCGGATGAAGCTCTGCTGCGGATGCGACTCCGGGGCGTTTGGGATGTGGAGGAAGCGGAACTGCGTGCCTTCGGCCTCCTCTTGTAATAGCGCTAGTTAATAACTGCTAAATACAGATTTTTTAAGAAATAAGGGTTGTTCTGTTGGTTGGAGCCCACATGTCATCTCTGCAAAACACTTGTCTCAACCGCCGTGATCCATCGGGATCATCTGCCGCTTCCTCTGCAGCGAGGGAAACCCGTGCGAAAAAGCAACCGATCCGGCAGGCATTCCCCGCTGAACGCAGGTCCCGGCCCTGAAACATCTGCAAATATTTACGGAGATAACAATATCCAGAGGGTCTGCATTTCTGACGGAGTGGAGCAGCCGTGCCGCAGGGGCGCGGGAGGGGGCCGTGGCGGTTGCAGCCCGGAGCAAGCATTTCGGATGCTGCTGCTCGTTGCTGTTTTGTAAAAGCAAAAAGAAAAAAAAAAAAAAAAAAAAGAAAAAAGCTCCTTTCGGCTCCTCCCCGCCTGCCGAAGCATTTGCACGAGCCGGCCGTCTGCAGTCAGGTTATCCAGAAGTCTCTGCCGGGAGCGGTACCACATGGGATAAGGCAACGGCGAGGATGCTGCGGCGCTGAGCCTGGAGCATCCCGGAGAGCAGCCGTGGGGCAGGACCACGCTCCGGAGGATGCCTTCAGCAGCACAAACAAACCGATGCTCTCTGGATCCGCTTGCTGGGGGGGGGGGATTTTCCTCTGGCGAAAATGCCGCCGTGTCTTACAGACTTCTTCTACGATAACCAAACGTTGCTTGGTCTGAAGCTCTAAATGCAGACCCAAAGCACCACCTCTGATCCCAGCCGGGGTGCGTGCAGGTGGCCGTGTCCCCCTCGCATTCGATACCAGTTAAACCCACAGCCTCACACGCTGGGGCGTGCGAGAGGGAGGCTGTCAGGAGTCTGATAACTTCAAGATGGGGTCTGCGCGCCTGTCCGCTCGGTATCTGGATAACAGTGAGCTCCTCCTTGCAGCGCAGCGAGGCAGGCGTTGCGCAGGACCTGTTGACTCTTGCGTCGATGGGACTTGAAGGTTGGCCTCTGCGAGTCCCGGGTTTGCTCCTCCGCTTGGTTTCATCGCACGTTCGCCCCCGCCGATAATCCCTACCCCAAATCCTCCAGCTGTGACGTGTAGGAAGGGCTTTGGTGGCGGCCAGACCTCGTCGGGGGCTGCTGTCCTCCACGGCCCCGTGGTCTTCTCTGCTCTGGTGGGACATGGATGGAGAAGGCAGTTGGGTTGGCACCGGGAGGGTTGCCCTGAGGTGCCGTGACCGCTTCCAGCCAAGGTTCGCCGGGCATTAGGGGCAGGGGCTGGTTGCCTTCAGCTCCTGGAGAATAAACGGCGACGTAAACAGTGGGACTTCGTTTCCCCGCGCGCAGCGGCTGGAGCGGAGAGGCTGGCAGGAGGCTGTTGGTTTAAATCCGCTTGGCTCCATCTCGCTGCCGAACCGTTCAAATAAAAAAAAAAAAAAAAAAAGAGGAAAAAAACCCACCCTCTTACTTTATTTACATTGCACTCAAGTTTCCACCGTACAAAAGATTTGCAGGTGCAAATATGTCCTGCCTTCATTAACTTCCCCTCCCTTTTTAATTTATGTGATTTCAATTTTCCTTCCCTGTACTGTTAATTAGGGGACCCTCTAATCAGTACCATTATCACAGTGGTATTCATGTTTAGGAAAGCTGCTAAACAAATGCTTGCAAAATTGCTAAATGGCTAATTAATGTCTGTTAATTAAGAAAATTGCTCATGGTAACAAACCATGCCATTGCTGGCAGCAGCTAGAAGGCGAACACTTGTTGAAATTAGTAACGAGGCAGGTAGAGAACATCTGCTCCAGCGCTGGTCCTGGAGCCTGCCGTCGCTTCCCATCACCTACTGACAAAGCTCGTTTGCTTTCTCTACCAATTACACCTCCTTTGACTCAAAAAATCCATATTTTTTTTCCTTACGTTAACACGCACCGGTATATTCTTGCACCGAGCTTGTGGTTTTTCCAAGCAAATTTTCATTTCATTTTAAGGAAAATTTAAAAAAAAAAAAAAAGTGGGCGTTCAAGCCCAAAATGTCAGCGGCTGCTGCATTGCAGCCTTAAACCTGCACCGACTAATCTCTCCTTTTTTCCCCTAGACATCCTTTCTTTGCTCGCAAGCCATTTTACTCGCATCCTTAGGGAATCCACCTCGAGGAAGGATGTTGCATCCGTGCAGTCTGGCGATGCAGCCCCGGTTGTGCCGGCCAAACGCTGCCCAGGCGCGAGCTGGGACGTGCTCCTCGTCCTCTGCGCTCGCTCCAGCACCTCCAGTGAACCACGGTCAAAAAAAAAAAAAACCCAAACCCCGGAGGTGTTTCCAACCTTTGGGATGAGAGAGGAAAAAAAAGATATTTTTTTTTGGTTTGGGGGTGTTTTTTGTATTTCCCCCAACCTCTCTGGTCCTCTCCTGCATATTTTTTCTTCCTCGTTTCACGCCCTTGCAAAGTGTTTCCCTGTGTGTTTATCATTGCAGACTTGGTTGAACTACCGGACCGTTTACCGTCAATGTGGCTGCTGTATTTTGACAGATGTTCTGATTTTTAATTTTTTTTTTTTTTTTGCATATATCATTATTCATTGTTCAGCTACAAATGAATAGAAACTCAATTAAAAAGAGGAAGAAAAGAAAAAAAAAATTAAAAATGGGAGAACTGACTCCCCGACAAAACAGGTCCACCCGTCAATCCTTTTTTTAGCTCTTTCTGCGCTTTCATGTGCTAATCTATAACCTCCTTCTACTGTCTGACCTCACAGGGACCGCCTGGGTCACAGCCCTCGCCACACGCACAGCCTCCACCCCACAATCCTAACAGCATGATGGGACCCCACAGTCAGGTAAAGACACTAGCGATGGGTAGGGCTGTGAACCGGGACGTGCGCTCGATTTGCTTATTTTTTTTTCCTCTATAAGCATGCTGGGCAGCGGGTACCCGCTCCCCCGGGGAGCATCCCCCCGGGCACCCCAGCTCCGAAGCAAAATGTTGGTTTTTTTCCCATTCTTTTTCTTTTTTTTTTTTTTTTTTTTTTGGATGTGCAGTTGTCAATGGACTAAGAAGTCAATCGTGGGTATCAGACTGTTTTACCTTCCCAAGGTAGCCTGAGAAATTTAACTTGATGTGGGTTTTTAAGCTTCTGTTAGTAGCAGCAGTTGTAAAAAAAGTAACTTTAAGTCTTTCTTCTTTTTTTTTCAGTACTTAGCGTTGGGGGTTTTTTTGTGTGTGCGTGTCTGTATGTGCTTATTTGCCACTTTTTTTAATATATCTCTATATATTTAAACTTGAACAGTATCTAACACTCAGGGTTTCCCATGCACTAATTTTAACAGCCTCACCTAGTATTGCCGATGTCAAACGCTCTCAAACAATAAATCTACAGAGAAAATGTTAAAAAAAACGGACTCCGGACATCTTTTTTTTTTTTTTTTTTCCCTTTTGAAACCTAACTTTTTTTAAAAAGGATGTCTCTAGAAAAAAAAAAAAAAAAACCAAAAACAAAACCAGTGTGTACAGTCTAACCGGCGTGCGTGGGGAGCGTGCTGCCTCCCCGCAGCTCGGCCCTGACCTCCCTTTTGTGTCCCCGCAGCCGTTCATGTCGCCGCGCTACGCCGGAGGTCCCCGGCCCCCCATCAGGATGGGCAACCAGGTACTGCGCTCCCGGGCTCCGCGCCGGCGGGTTTCTTGGGGATGGCTTTTATTCGGGGAGGGGGACGAGGGCCACGTGTCCTGCAGATGCTCCTGGGGTTTGGATGGCGAGCGTCGCCTCCCTCGGGCATCCTCCGTTTTCTTAGTGCTGGACCGTCGAGTGTCACGTAACCCATTTATTTTACTGTTTTTTTGAGGTTCGGGCATATCCAGGGTGTAAACGGCGGTGGGGCGTGTGCCGCTTTTTATTTGTGGTGTTTTCAGCACGGCCGTGCTGCGGGCTCGGTGCCCAGCTGGATTTTCCCTGCAATCGCAGAAAATTAAAGTGATGGAGATAATCCTGCTGCTGGGTTGACCGAGCGCTTAGATCAGCGGCGGGGTCAAGCGGGGCAGGTCACTGCTGAATTTTTTGGGTTCGGTTTATCCTCTTATCCCAGCTTAAACAAGGGCAGTTTGTTTCTGGCCTTACGGATGGAGGCTTCCACCCCACGCGCTGCCTGAACGCGTGGCCTTTGGTTCAGGAATTCATCTCGTTCCCAGCGATGCCGTGCAGATCCATAGGGTAATGACCGAACCAGAGGTTATTTGTCATTAAAGGGAAATTAAAGGAAACCTGTAATTCCTTTGAGTAGCAAAGGTGGCTGTGCAAAAATCATCTCGGGAGCTTGTTTTTTGGCTAACAACATTATTTTTATATAGCTCTTATTAGCAGAATGAGCAGGATAGTCAGGAAATAGGATGTAGCAGCTCGCTTCGTGTTTGTGCTTGCTGGATTTGAGACTTGAATCGCTGGAACTTGCAAAATGACGGTGAGACAGCTGAGAAAAACTCAGGGGGGGCTGATGTAGGCCCCCCCCAAGCCTGGATGGGCTGGAAGAGCCTCCCACCCAAGGCACTGGTGGCTGTTTTAGCGAGGTATTAATTAACTGCACCTCTTCACGGGACAGTTTTAACAGGACCTTGTCCTGCTGTGGTCCCAAGCTCGTCCCAAGCTCTTCTGGAGGTGAACACAGTGAGCTGGGGCAGGCGTGGGACCGGTCTGGGGAGGCTGCTCTTGCAGCAGGGTCAAGCATCCAGGATTGGGTAAAGTTAATTAGAAGGATTTAATTTTTTCCCCCCAAACGCCACGTATAAAACACCGTTTTGTACCTGCCCAGAGCTCGGCGAGGTTGTGGTCACATCCAGAGGGACAAGAGGAATAAATAGGCAGGCAGGAAGGTCAGGCAGCAGAAGTGTAAATATCCATCTCTACAACGCCCTTGGTTTATCTTCCTCCTGCTGCCAGCTTCCAGGCTGCGAAAAAATCGGGATTGGGCAGATTCTGCCTCGGCACGGCCATGTGCACCCAGTGCCTGCGCTGTGCTCCAGCAGTGGGATCCGTCTGTGTCGGTATTCAAATAAAAGACAGCGCTGTAGCAAAACTGTTTACAGTTTGCTTCCCCCGGGCAGATGGTAGCTGCGTTTTTCTCCCCCTTTATCTATTCGGAGCAGCCTTTGAACTTTAAATAGCCACGTTGCCCAAGCAGAGCGTGGGTTTGGGGAGGGGGAGCATCCGTCTCCCCCTCTGCCTGCGTGGGGACGGGTCCGAATGCTGGTCTGCTGCAAATGGAGCATCTCTCCGCCGGCAGCCGATGAATCGCTGCAACCTGTGTGGTTTGGCCCTGGCGCTGTGTAAATACCGGGGAGCCACGCTGCCCGTCTCCTTTCCTTGTCGGCTTTGATGCCTCTGCCCCGTGCAGCCCGGGCTTTCCCCCCGGCTCCCCTAAAATACGGCAGCCGGATGGCACACAGGCTGCGGGGAGAGGAGGAAGCGCTGACACCTTGTTTGGTTTTCTAGAGGGTGGTTGGGAAAGGAAAGGGGAGGCAAACGCCCGGAGGCTGTTAGGAAGATGCCCGGGATGCAGCGGGATGCTCGGGCAGCTGCAGGTCGTGCTGCGGCAGGAGGGGTGGCGCACCCTGGGGAGCACACCAAGGAGCCCCCCTAAAGCCCCAACCCAAATCTATCTCTTTAGGCTGCATTGTAGCAATTACTATTTTTTTTCATCTTCCTCCCCTTGTTTTCACAGCCCCCGGGTGCCGTTCCCGGTACACAGCCATTGCTGCCCAATTCGATGGATCCCACGCGACAGCAAGGTAAACCCAGCAGAGGAGGGACGAACGGTTAACGTTTCTCGTTAGCTGTTAAATTTGGGACCCGAAGTGGCTGCCGTGCCGCGTAACGCCCCTGCTTTCCTCCCAACAGGGCACCCTAACATGGGCGGCCCCATGCAAAGGATGAATCCTCCGCGAGGGATGGGCCCCATGGGTCCCGGTCCACAGGTAAGCCCAACGCCAAAGAGCCTCTTACAGCTCGGCAAACGCCGCGCACCATCGAAACGACCTCCTGGGGCGCAAAGGCCTGGGAGTTTCCCCCCCCTCCACGCCCTGTCCCCCCATTAGTGTTAATGCGTTTTACATTAGTGTTGCATCTGGAAATCCCTCCTTTTAACATGAGCGAGGTCTTCAGAGCTCGTTTAAGGGTATCGCAACCTCCCTGTTGCCCTTCCGTCAAAGGGGATGGCACTTAGCGCCGCGCCGGAGCAGCCTTTGAGTGCATTACGCTGCCTGCCTGGGAAATAGTTATGACCCTAACAGCAGGAAGGGGAAAGGAGGCTTGCATTAAAAATAAATAAATAAAAAGAAATGGCAAAGATCCCTTTAGCAGGGGAATAAGGCTTCCCTCTGCGAGGTTCCCCTCCGCCCGCCCCTCCTGCTGCCTGCTTGAGCTCTCTATTTCAGCAAAGGGGACTAAACTCTTGAAATTAAGCAGATCTGGGTTAATATATGCTGTCTTTCCATTGATTCGCTTTACGGAGTGGCTTGTTGTTGACTCACTCCTGTTTGTTCCTTCTACGAGACTTCAAAACCAGATTACCATATTTTGGTTGGAGGTTTATCCTCTCTGCATCGTCGCCTACGTCAAGTTTGTAGTGCGAGGATCAGAGTCTGTCAAGAGACGAGCGGGTGCGCTGGAGTTTTGTTTTGTTTTTCCCCTGGAGACTGTTGAGATGAGCGAATATTGTGTAAAGAGGGAGTTGTGTCATCCCTTTTTAACACCAGCCTGAGGATGCTGCTCAGGGATGCCCGGCTGTCTCTGCAGGCACCCGGATCCATCCCAGGGCAGGAGGTAAAAAACCCGCATGAGCATCGTTTCCCAGACTAGCCCTCCGATAGCGCCGCTGCTCTGCTTAAAATCCTCCTTTCCTGGAGGACTGCACCCAAAAAAAATGGCATTTGTTAGCATGGCCTGTGCCAAGGAGAGCGGCGGTGGTTTGCCTGGGGGAGGCTGCTCGCTTCCCACTTGCAAAGCACACCGCGAAACTTGGAAGCCGCGAGCGCGCGTTCAGCGCCGCGTGGGATGGTGGCGGCTCTGGGAGCCGGCAGGAGTTGTGAAATGTTCAGAGCTTTATTTTTGACTCCGCCGTTCCCTGTGTACGTACATTAGGGAGAGGTTTTTTAAAAGGCAGCCTTCCCCTGGAGAAGTGCTGGGCTTCCCAATCTGGCACCCGCGGGGCGCTGCCTCCCCGCAGCCATCCAGGAACCAGCGCCTGTGCAGGCAACCACCAAAAATACCCAACCAAACCCAGCAGCCTCTCACACCTCGCACGCCCAGGGCTTTTTTTCCTTTAACCTTTGCATCGGGACCTGCCCGAATACTCCTTAAATTATTTGAAAGGGCTGCCGAGCGTCCAGCCAGGACATCCCGGCATCCTGACAACAGCTGCGTATTACATACCAACGATGAATCATCCCTTACAGCTGATCACCGCTGCCTTTTTCCCTTTAATAGTCGCAGTTTTAGCTCTGCAGAAGCCAGGGTTAGCTTTGCCGGTGCCTGTATGAAGAGGGTTCGTAGCTCACTGGGTTTCGGCAGCATCTTGCCGGAGCCCAGCATCCAGGTTGCTCAGCACAGCTGCGTTCCCTCTCCACCCTCCCTGAGCATCTTTCAGACAGCTTCGTTTTCCAGCCTTTCAGCTCCAATTAAAAATGCTGAGGCTTTTTTTTAAAAAAAAAAACAAACAACAAACCAAGGGGTTTGATGCTGCTATTCAGTGTAAATGGCTGGAATTTCTTTCAATTAAGGACTTGCTGGTAATTTGTTTGGGGAAAACCCTTTTCTGCCTCTTCAAAACAAACTTCGATGATGCCCTCAGGAGAGCACCCTGCTCCGGTGCATCCACAAATCCAGGGAAAAATCGACAGCTCTGATGCATTGCACTTAAAATCCAACTTGGAACGCTCCGAGGGGCTGCAAAACAGGAAGCGGCCAGCCATCCCCCCCTCCTGCCTTAGCAATTTTTTTCTTTAAACGGCAGAACTACAGCCCAAAAAGATGCATCGTGGGGGGAAGGTGGGAGGGGAGGAGCGTCAGCGCGACCTAAATCCGGCTGCACGTCGCCCAGAGGGTACGGGGAGCAAAGCGCAGACCAAATGGAGCGCGGCATTCGGGAGATTCCTCTTCCTTCGCTGCCTTGGGCTTGGCTTTGTACTAGAGCTGGTTTTAGGAGATGAGGGATGCAGATCTGAGGCTCCCGGTCCCAGCTGGAGGCTAAGCCAGGGTGGAATAAGCCAGGAGAGGAGCCCCAAGGGGCTGGCTGCGGACCTGCTCCGGGGGACATAGCAGAGAGCTGGGAAGCAACGGGAAAACGAGCCTGGCTTGGTTTTCCCTACTCCAGCTGTCATCCTGGGAGCAGGGGATGCTCCGTCTCGGGGGGAGCTCGTGCAGCCTTTTCCCATCCTTACGCTGCAGCAATAACCTTCCAAGCGATGCCGCCTTTTCTCCTCCTGCCCCTGTTTTCTCCTGCACAAAAAAACAAACCCAAAAGGCTGTTGTTGGCGCCTGGGGGCTGTGAGCAGATTTGTCTCCTGGAGCTGGGAGGGGGCTGTTTTCTCTCCACCAGCATGGCATCAGAGATCGCCGGGGGGGGGGACGACTTTGGGGCTCAGCCTGGCTCCCTTCCATATTCAGCCGCCTGGCTTTTTTATAAACACAATTGCTAATTGCCCCTACGTTCAGCATCGTCTAATATATTTTTTTTTAAAGCTCATTTTTGCAAACTAACCTTCTTGTTTTTTTGTTTGTTGTTGTTTTTGCTGGGTTTTTCCCTTCTCTTGTCTTCTCCGGTTTCCCTTCCCGTTACGGTAGACTGACCCTTGGTTATCGTTGCAGAACTACGGCAGCGGCATGAGACCTCCACCCAACTCCCTAGGTCCCGGCATGCCCGGAATTAACATGTAAGGCAAACCCGGCACGGGGGATGTTTGGCCGCTGACTCGGGCTTTGCGGGATCATATGGATAAAAAAAACTTTTTTTTTTTTTTTTTTTTTCCTGTTTTAATTTTGACCCCAGGGGGCCGGGAGCTGGCAGACCGTGGCCGAACCCCAGCAGTGCTAACTCAGTGAGTATCCCGCGGTCCTTGAAGCAAGAGCGGGGCTGGTTGGGAACCGTCCCGCAAATGAAGCCGTTCCCCGTTAGCTGAATCCTGCTAACGAGGCGGGGGTCCCCAGCCTCTTGTTTAGGCGCTGCATCTGAAGCCTAAGCCCTGCTCCCGTCCTGCTCTCCCTGGGGCGGCGTGCAGCCGCGGGGGCTGGTGGGCCCTGGGACCCCCATCCCGGCCGGGCTGGGGGGGCGGCGGGGGCTCTCGGCTGTGCCCCGCGGCTGAACCTGGCTCTCTTCTCTCTGTTAGATCCCATACTCTTCTTCATCACCTGGTACATACGTGGTGAGTCCTCCTGCTCCATCTGTCCGTCCTGTCATTGGGGTGCAGAGACGTTACGGCTCGGAGAGCTCGTGTGGTTTTGGGGGGAATCGGTGCCGGGGTGGGGAGGGGGGGCCAGGCTGGGTTTGGGGGTGCCAGGTCCGGCCAGGGGAGGTGTTTGAAAACGTGGGGTGGTGGGCAATGCTCATGTTTGCATGGCTGACCCCCACTTCGTTTCTCCGCAGGGTCCGCCTGGTGGCGGCGGTCCTCCGGGGACACCCATCATGCCCAGTCCCGCAGGTACGAGACCCCCGAAACCCCCGTCTCCCGGGCTCCTGCCCCTTCCCCTGCCGGGAAACCCCCATCCCTGGGGCCGTGCCACCGAGCGCAAGCAACTTCTGCCCAACTGGCGAAAACCAATTTCTGTAGCTTTTGCCTTTTCGGGGAGCGAGTGGCGTGGGCTGCTTGGCTTCGGGATGGCATTTGGGGATATTCGTATATGCATCTATGGATTTGGATGCTGCCGGGGCTCGGGGAGGTGAGGAGTGCTACATGGCGAGGAATTACCTCCCCGTGCTTCCCAGCCAGGAGTTGAATTATTTTTCACAGTTGAATTTCTGTGATTAAAAACTTTGTGGATCTTCATTAAATACAAATTAACCAGAAAATGGTGGTACTTAGAGGGAATTTTAGGTGATAAAATACAAAAGAATGAGTTCAAGTGGCATGAGTTTGTTTTAATTAAGAAATGAATTAATCACCCGACTTACTGGGCTTCACTGTTCCACAGATTCAACAAATTCAAGTGACAACATCTACACAATGATTAATCCAGTACCGCCTGCAGGCAGTCGATCGAATGTAAGTCTGCTTTCTAATAATTTACATATCAGATACCATAACAAATCATAATTAACTTCATCAGTTGAGAGTAAAGCAGTTTAATTGATTTCAGCCATTTGTTACAAAACAGAAATAAAACAAACCATCAAAAAGCGATTAACTCTTTGGCGACTTTGTTAATTTTTTATGCTTATTAAGGGAGCGGTGGTCCTGCTGCTCCGGCCGAGGTGGTGGCAGCTGCGTGCCCGGCGAGATGCTGTGTTTCGCGGGATACGGGCAGACTTAAATCTCTTTAAATACTAGTTGGAGGGAGTCCTCCGCGCTGCCCATGGGTCTGGGTCTGCCCGCACCCGTCCGGCCAAATTTTATGGGTGAACCCACAGGACCGTGAGCCCCCAGACATGCCCCGCAGCCTCGGAGGGTGGATGCGTCCTGCTCCGGAGGGATGGCTGGGGAGGGGACGGTCCCCAGGAGCTGCCGTGGCCGTGGCAGACGTGCGGGGTGGTTTCGTGGCTGATTTTGGTTTTGTCTCCTTTTTCTTCCGCAGTTCCCGATGGGCCCCGGCTCCGACGGCCCCATGGGCGGCATGGGTGGCATGGAGCCCCATCACATGAACGGATCGTTAGGTGAGCGCCCGCGCGGGGGGCTGCGGCTCGGGGGGCCCCGCCGTGCCTTCACTCCCTGGGCAGAGCATCCCAGGGTCAGCCCCCAGTTCGGACCAGTGCTCGAAGCACTGGAAATCGGAGGGGGAGTCTGGAGGGGGGGTGGGGAGCAGGGCAGGGGGGTGCAGGGGCCATCGCTGCATGCTCAATAAGGCTGTTCTCCTTTTGTGTGTCCCCCTGCGCAGGGTCAGGAGACATAGATGGACTTCCAAAAGTAAGTGAGTTGCAGAGCGGGTGTGTGGGCCCCCCCTTTTTCTCGGCACTGGGGTGCCGGTGTGACCCCAACGGATGGGGACACGTCAGGGGGACGTGAGCGGGGCAGGCAGGGCTGCGTCCTGCCCCCACAGCGTTTCGGGGAGCGCAGGGACCTGCTCACCGCCTCCCCCCCATCTCCTGCAGAATTCTCCAAACAACATAAGTGGCATTAGCAATCCCCCGGGCACTCCAAGAGACGACGGGGAGCTGGGAGGCAACTTTCTCCATTCCTTCCAAAATGACAATGTGAGTGAGTGAGTGCGTGCCTCCCTGGGGACGGGGGGGACGGTTCCCGGGTGGCTGGTGGGTGCAAGCTTGGGTCCTCAGCGGAATAGGGGTGTACCGAAGGAGAGGAGAGGATCCTGCGGGATGGAGGAGGGAGGATCCCGCAGGATGGAGAGGAACCGCTGCAGATGCAGCCAGCTGTGCTGGCCTGGTGATTTGAGGCTCTGTGCGTGGCTGCAGACATCCCTCCTCTTCTTCCTCTATTAGCAGCGTATACACGTGTGCATGTTAATTATTTGTTTTAAATTGCGTCTCAGCCCATACCGTTCTGCTGATTTTCTCCCCGGAAAAGCAAGTTAGAGAGCAGATTACGCCCTGATAAATTGGAGTCTCCAGCATATCCTCTCCTCCTGATTTATTAGATCCAATTAGGTTGCTGTGTAGTTGTCATCAGCCTCCTTTTGCACCCCCGCTTCAGTGTCTGGGAGTCTGGCCCGCCTGGTTTCTCACCCTGGCTCTGTCTCTCTTCCAGTATTCCCCCAGCATGACGATGAGTGTGTGATTTCCCTCCCCCTCCTCCTCTCCAGGATCAAGAGAGTCAGCTGCCGTTCGGAGGATCTCAACGAATTATGCAAGAAGAAGAAGAAGAAGAAGCTAGGTGTATGGGCAGGGAGACGCGTGGCGGGGGCCAAAACCCCAGGTTTAGTTTCATGCAATAAAAAGGCTGAACTTTTTATTCCATAAAACATGAAGGACAAAACTTAAAATATTTCAAGACATGACAAGACCCTTCTTTGTGCAGAAGGGTTTATATATGTACATGACACTTCTTTTTGGAAACAAACGGAAGCCTCTAGCACCCAACTCCGATCTCTTTGCTTTGTTCTTTTAAATAAAGACAGAAACCGAACCTGTTGTATGTTTGTGCCGTGCGACACCAGGAAGCTAGTCTAGATATGAAATCTCATGTTGTCTCTGTTGTAGTCATTTTTTTAAATAAACTGGACAGTTTACAATGGTGGTTTTCGTTCAGAAGGCCTGTTTTGTTTTGGTTTTGGGGGTTTTTTTCCCTTCTATTTTTGGTTTTTTTGGTTCGTTTGCAGCACAACGCTTCCTCCTCCAGTTAACAAGATCTGCTTTGGGGAAGAGACTCCACCACCTCGTTATAAACTTGTTAACGCAGGTGACCCCTTCTAGGATCACATCCTCGAATGAATCGTGATCTTGCTCTCTGTGACTGTGGCATGCACTGTGTTAGTCTTTCCCCCCCTCTCTGAGTACCAGAAGAAATCTCTGTCCCTCCCTTCCCCAGAGTCCTTCAGCTGGTTCACTGCAAAAATTGATTTTTTTTTTAATTTTTTTTTTTTTTAAATCCACCAAAAGAAAGGGTTAATCTGACCTGGGACTTTGAAACTGTGATCTCCAGCTAACTTTGGGGTTTTTGGGGGGGGTTTCTTTGCTTTGGGGGTATTTTGGGGGGGTTCTTTTCTTTAGAGATGTGCTCTTGTCAGGGTTTCACTTATCTATGATTTGGAACTGGATGGAGATATTTTTTAAGGAATTCTTGTTGTTAAAATGTAACCTTGCTATTCTGTAGGCTCGCTCTGTAATAAGAAAAATAAAAATTAATGGCAAGCATCGAAGGCCCTTCCTTCTGGCGGGAGAGGAAGGGACGAGCCAAGGCGGCGGGTTGGGATCTCTGTACATGACACTACCCTGTAGTTTGGTCTTTGTTTTTCTCCAGCTCCCATTTCTGCTCCATGTATATCATATTCTGTAAAATATTCTCTCCCTTGGATTTGACCTTTGTGCGGATTATTGAAAGCATTGTATCTTGTTTCAGTGTTTTTTCTTACCTTGTAGTCTGGTTCGAAAATTACCGAGAGGGGAAAAAAAAATAATTATTATACATTGTAGTTTGTGTACGATATTTGTTGATAATGTTTTATTAAAGGGATGTCTTTTTTCCGCACCCCTTCATTGAAATGTTTTTCGGGAACATTTGGCTTGTTTTTATTATTCTGACTGCAAGACATGAGATGACAAAACTTTTTTTTTAGTGTGTAATACGAATATTTTTTTTTTCACGTTTGCCTTCTTTTTCCTAGGCATTTTAATTGTGCTTTACCTGTAGAAAGTCGCTGGGGAGGGAGGGGTGGGTGGTATGGGGGGGTCTGAGGGTGTCAGTCTCATAGTTACGGTCAGGTTAATATTTTCCAAGTTACACTGAGAAATAACTGAACGCAGATTTTTTTGCATCGCAAATATACCCGGGGGCTCCCCAAGGGGTCAACTTTTTTTCCTTTTCCGCTTTACATCTTGTTCAGGGGGTTTTTTTTCTTTTCCTTTTTTTTTTTTTTTTTTTGTTCTGACGTGAGGAAATGAAAGGACCGGTTTTAATGTATTTTAAAATGAATAGCTAAATTATTGTCTTCATTGGTATGGGATGGTTTTTTGAATGAAACGGTTCTCCCCCCTTCTCCCCCCCCCCCAATGCTGTAATAAATATCAACATAAACATTTGATTTCGGTGCTCTGCAGTTTGTTCCTGGTGTTTGCTGCCAGACCGGGGGGGGGGGGGGGGGCTATTTTTTTTTTTTCTGAGTTTTATTTGTCGAGGACCAAACCGCAGGTTTGGGATGTGGGAGCGGGGGAGATGCAGAGCTGAGAGGTGGTCAGCGTTTGCTGGGGGGGGTCTGGCTGAGGCTGGGAAGGTGGCCAGGGATTTGGCTGCAGTGCGGGACCTGGGAGAGGTTTGGTTTAATGATCCTTCCTTGTTTTTTAGGGAAGGAACACAAGTGGCACCTTCAAAAAAAAAAAATATATATATATAGGTTTGCAAAGGGGTCTACTGACTTCTTTCTCGAGCAAGAGCTGGCTGCAGGGCAGGATGGGTGCCTGCACCGTTGCAGGATCAAACTCAGCTCCGGGCTCTGAACCGGCTGCTGGAGATGGAGAAACTCAGGCAAGGCTGACCTGCCTCGCCGCCGGGCAGCATCAGAGGCATTTGGGGAGAAACTGGGGGGGTTTTAGGTCTTTAGATGGTGCTTGAAACGCTCCCGGGAGCTGCTGTCTGAGACTTGTTCTCTGCCTTTGACTAGTTTGGGCAGGATACGGCTGGCTGCGATTTCTGCAGCTTCTCTCCCTCCTTGCAGGAATGTTCAAGAGGGGGCTGCGGGCTCGGGGGGGGCTGCGAGCCATCCTGGAGCTCTGCTGGTCCTGTGGGATGCTCCCACCCGGCACCGGCACCCGCAGCCACGTCACCGCTCCAATTCCAGGAGCGAGCACCGTGCGATCACGGATGCTCCGGGAGCAGAAGGGCGAGGGGCCAATGCGTTGGATGTCTGCTGGGTTTTGGGAACCACCCAGAAAAATCGTCGCGCCTGCAGAGCCCGTTAGCATGTAATTAACGGCGGGGCCAAGGAGCAGTGTGTGCTTACACCCTTTGCTACCTGTGCAGGTTTGCCCCCGGGTTAACGCCACAGCCATCCTCGTGCGGGTTTTGGTCCCCAACGCGGTTTTTGGTCCAGGCAATCACGTCCCTCTGTGCTTTGCAGAAAGTAGCGTGCAAGCGTTGTCCATCGTTTGGAAACGTGACCCCCAAGGGTAATTAGGTGACGCTGATGAGGACCTCCTGCCCTCCCAGCTCCCTGGGGCCATCCCTACCCACACTGCCCATCCAGGCCCTGCTCGGCTGCCCCGAGCAAGAGGCAGCATTGCCAGGCGTAGAAAAGCCCTTCCCGTTGGTTCTTGTGGGGTTACAAGCTAGTTTTACTACACACCGCCATGAGAAACTGCCAGGTTCCCTCCCCTAAACATCTCCTCAGCCCAACCTCAGGGATAATTGTCTCCCCCATTAGTCTTCATTAAATTAAATGTGGGAGGAGGTTCTGAACAACCAGGGGCTCCAGTCGGAGCACAGCCTGTACTTGCTGGCACAATGGGTGCAGCCCCTGGAGTGGGATTTTGCACAGGGAGTGGTTCAGGGGAAGGTCGCATGGAGCAGCGGAGCCCAGACGGCACGCCGTGCATCATCCCCCCCCAGGGCGGGCTGGGGGCCTGATCCTGCACCGGTGGCTGCAGAGCTCCTCTCCTGGCAGCCGGGCACTGCCAGGTCTTCATCTCGGACTCCAGCCACCCCGTTCTCGCATGTTCTGCTTCCCCGGCTGCCGTTCATTAAAAGTTAATGCCTGGCTCTTGGTCCGTGCTGAGGTAATGCCATTCATCTGCTGACAAGCCTTTATAACTTATTGATGCCAAACCAGATGTGCCTCTGTGACCCATCGTCCTGCTCTCGGTCCCACCTCCCTCAGCTGGGCCAATTCCAGCGAGCCACACTGGAGGAACGAGCGGGTGAACCGAACCACATGCAGGCTGCTTGGGAAGACCAGCGGGACACCGCACACGGGTGCAGGGCTGTCCGCGGCGCGGGGGCCGCTCTGCAGGGGCTGCCTGGTTCACGGACCTCGTACCTGCACCACAAACCCCAGCATCCATCCCAGGTGCCAAGCTGGGAGCCCCGCTCTGCCCCCCCCTTGAGTTCCCCTCCTGGACCTCAGAGGAGCTTACCCAGCACGAGGATCAGCTGCTCCTTTCGGCAACACTGTGAGTACTGCTCCCCCCCTCACCGCAGGCGAGATCAGCCGTGCCCTGAGCAAACCAGGGACACGGTCTTGCACGCTTGGCTATGGTCCCCTCATCTCAAGTGGCTTCCTGATGCCTCTTGTAACCTGCCGAAGCCTCATTCCCCTGCTGACTATCCCATGTCTTATTGCTTCTGCCATTTTTCAAAATTGCCTTTGTTCTGCCTTTGTCCATCTCTCCCTGTGTTCATGCTTTGTTTCTGCTCAGTCTTGGAGACAATGGGACTCCAGCTTCACTTAGCTTCTCCTCTTCTACTGCCTGTCCTAATAGAGATGTCTTTGTTGAGAGGTAAAAGCATCTAAAGAGACTTTGGCTCTGTCCCATGTAGACCATCTTCACAGATTCCCACATCTACTGGAAGCATGTGAGGCGTTTCATTCCTCCACGCCCCCTCTCCACCACAGCCACTCTTCTACCACACTTCCTTAGTGAAACCGCTCTGCTCCGGAACGTTAACACAGCAGCGGCTGGCTGCCCTGCAGGGTTTCCTCCTTAAGACGGTAATGACCCAAAGCTGGAAGGGTGAGGGGATGTCAGTAGTCCAAGGGCCGTTGCCTAGAGCCGTTCAGCAGGGTCAGTGTGACATAGCAGAGAGCCAACAGCCGAGAAAGAAACACCTACCAGTCTCCACACAGCATGAGTGTATTCAAATATATTCCTAAATAACTGGTGCAAATTACAGATCTGAGATTTAAAATCGATCAGCTGAATTAGGCATCCCTTGAGCAGGCAGAATTAACATGATTTAGATCAATGCCACACTTACTAGATTACTTCTCTTTCAAGCATTTTCTCCTAACTATTGAGGGATTTGTTAATTTAACTAACAAGCCGATGCATCCCAATTTACTGGGTGCAACTGTTGATCTCAAATTTGACTAGTGAAAATCTGTTTTCTGAAAGCTGCAGAGTAGAGCTGTCTGATGGACTGGAACACACAACTGGGGTGTTCATCCAGATGGTCAGAGATCACAAAGCACAGACCAGTCTCTGACACAAGACACTGAAGTGAGATGGATTTCTTGGAAATTAGCTCTTCCACACCGTAAAATAGCGCAGGCTGTCCTATTCCTTCCCATGTGCTGGAGGATATCAGTGCAGAACTGCAAAACATTCTACATTTGGCTGGAGCTAATTTAGCTTTCATTTTACAAAAACCACACTAATCCCCCCATCTTAAAAAGAATACGCTTCCTGCTCAGTTAACTCTGTGTGGCAGGAAGAAATTCTTCCTTTGTATTTTTAGCAGCGTATACCAGCTACCAGGCACCAAAGTTTCACGCTACATTCTACACCACTTTCCCAAAATGGATAGGTCTCTTCATCCAGGATTGGGGGATAAAAGAACTGCAGTTCTATAGATCCAACAAAGCAATCTCACCGATTAAGTGCTTTGGGAACTAAGCGCAGGGCAGCACGACACATCCCAAAGCAGCCAGGAGTAAAACAAAGTAAAAGCCAGGCAGAATGAAAAAGGCTCATGTCTCAGGCTCCCCCCTTGAAGCTTTGTAAGTCTCTTCCACATACACTGCATTCAGAGGTACTCAAAGCAACCTCGGAAAATAGGTTTGAGTCTAGCTCTGTGCAAAAGCACACTGAGAGCAGAACCTGCACAGAGGAATAATGACTGGCTTATGTTCTTTCTAGGCAACGGTGGAAGAGTGCAGGAGGATGCATTTGATGACTCTCTCTAACCCGAATCCAGAGGTGAGCCCCTAAAATGAAAGAGTTTCTTCATGCACAATTTAGTTTAAAAAAATTTTTTACTTTCAGTAACAATATAATTTATTTTTGAAAGTAAATTAATCCACCTTTCTTTAATTATGTGATGGTTCTGGCAAAGAAAAGCAGCAGGTACAGTTGGTGAAGTATTTTCATTTGAGCTGAATTTCACACAGTTCCATGCAGATACAGTGCCAGAAACTTCTTGAATGTGTCTGGCTGAAAGCCATATATTCCAGCGGGCTTCTGCAGAGAAAAAGACATGGATGCTCAGTTTGCAGTGAAGTGATTAATGCAGACAAACAACGGCTTTAAATACACTTGAATAAGACTTCAGACGTGGTAGCTTCCAAATTGTGCTCTCCCTCCCCAGACGGGTTTGTCTGTGGGTACTTCGACTGGTATAAGTCTCAAACAGCATAAACCCTTTGCCCATCAAACCGAGACGCCCTCCCAGCGTAACCAGGGCTGACAGCACTGTGCTCTATTTACTCTACAGCGAAGCTGACAGTTGCATGTAAGCAATTCCTTCATCAGAGCACGAGTTGATTTTAAACAAGCATATTATGAGATGGTAGATTACAGATGGGTATATCTTTATGTAGGAGTTCGTATTAAGCTTGGCATGTGGCTTGCACGCTATGCGGTACATCAGCACTACAAATACTCCCTGTCAGTAACACCTGCTTGAGTAAGAACGAGGCGAGCGCCTGTGTCAGGTCCCTTCAGCTGGTTTAAAACCCGCACTGCAGCTCTACGCCAGCTGCCAAACCTCCAACAGAGGTGAAAGGGTACTATTTCCAGGACCGTTTCCCAAGTTTTGCTTACCGTAACAACTCTCTTCTTGACTTCTGAAATACACTGGGCTTTTTCATACAGCTTCTGATCGGAGTCAATCCAGACTAGATTTTTTATGCCATCACCAGAGACAAGGTCTGTTGTATTTAACTGGAACACCATGAACTGGAAGAGCTGGCCATCTGTGCCAACGCTTTGCACCACTATTGGCTGCTCCAAAGCCTTGGGATCATTCTAGGAAAGAAGGTGGGGGGAAGAACATTTAAAAAGCCAGTTACCACAGAAATTGTATGAGTACTTGCTGATGCTGCATCTTCTACTTGGTTTAAAGCCAACATTTTAATAAATGTATTGTTACCTTGCCCAGAAAATTACTCTAGTCAAACAAGTTTTGAATGTAGATTTTGTATTTTAATTAGAATTTCTCCTTCAGCCAGCAATGAAGTATCAATTTACATACTGAGCTGTGGGATGGGTTAAGAGTTTTGCAGCTGAACCTACTCCCTTGTTCCTACCCATTACCACTCCAATGCGTGTTACATCACGAACACACTCATTGCTGAGTGGTGGTTTTCTGGATCAGCAGACATCGGTAACCATAGCTGAAGGTTACAGTTAGACAGACCTCTGGACTGGGAAGCTCAGATTTGAAAACTACTCTAACAGGCCACAGCAATGGAATTTCACAACTCTTTCCACTAGCTGCAGCGCTAGAGAGACAACAAAGGCCTAGCAAGTCAGCAGCAGTCTCCGATACCTACCCCATACAGCACCTTAGCCTTTGCCAGCGCATTGCCAAAAGCAAACATCAGCATTTTAGCACGAAGTTGTTCTGGTCTGAACCTGTTAGGACGAATGTTGGCCGATTCCAGGAAGAACAGAGTGTGAGGATGAGAGTACGGATAACCATCTCGAAAACCTAAATGGCAGATAATCATGTCAGAAATCGCTCAGTAAGAAACTACACAGCCAATGTTTTCTCCCGTATCTTCAGGAACTGTTAAAGTAACGTGCCGGGATTTAAGTTCTCCACAGTCCTGCTTAGGCCACAATATACTTGCCACAGGTCTGGAGTGCTTGCACTGCACACCGTGTGCCCGGCTCCTCTGTCCCCTCATTCCCATAAACTCCCTACCACAGCTGTCTCACAGAAGGGCAAGGACTCCAGGTTAACCTGAACACTTCGTCTGACAGACAATTATTAATGGCTAGATTTACCTGTACTGTTGAGCTCTTGGTACACATTCACTTCCTGCAGATCAATTGTAGGAGAGATGGGATAGAAGGTCTCCAGAACATGTTCTTCAGTGGCCAGTATCTCCTCCTTGGAGGCTACTGGTGGTATTGGGGCCACAGAGTTCATAAGTATTCCATTCAGGCCACGGACCTGAAGGAGAATGGATTCTGGGGAGGGAAATTAGGCTACATTCAAACATTGCTGAAGTAAGATTAGGGAAAGAGGTACGTTTCCTTTTGGGCAGCAGCATTCTAGCAAGTCATTGTTCTGCAAGGTTCACTCTCTCCCCCTCACCTCCAAACTCATCGTAAATAGTAGCTCAGCTGTAGGTTCTTCTTCTAAAATACCAACCTTTATTGCTGGTGTTAGTTTCTTAACTAAACATACTTCGAAAAACAACAGTACAGACTTTGGACACAAAAAAATAATCAATCAGTTCTAAGACAGTGGTTCTCTTCTCCCGCCATCTTGACGATATTGTCTAACACCCTAATAATCTCCTCAGGGCAAGTATCCTGCCATCATCCAAGGCTGCCCATGCTTACAGCACTATTTAAAACTGAAAGAATTACTTGGTTCCAGAAAATGTTTCATTTTCTCCAAGTCCTCAGCCTTAAAGCTAGCAGCTTTATTACCCCTCTTATATTTTATTACCCTCTTATATTAATGAGAAGAGCTAAATGCTTCCACCATAGCAGCAACTAACCTCTTTCCCACGTAGCTGCTATCTTGTAGTTTCTAGCCAACATTCTTTTAGTCAGAGAAGGATACTTCACAGACATTAACCGACATAAATGTATCAAGTCTTCAAACAGTACTGGGCTTTAGAATGAGAAAAAAAAAAAAAGTTATGTAAAAAAATGTGATCATAATGGCAGGCAGATGCTTCTGGGACATGAATGCTGTAGCATTACTGTATGTAAAACATATAATAGCTTAACACTGCCGAACAGTTAACACAGATTTCGGAATAATATCCAACACACCAGTCTTGTTCCTAGTTGGCAGAGGTAATGCTTACCGTTAGTTATTTAAAAAATTGACATTCTGCATCAGCTAGAAGTAGATCTCAAGCTGAAACACAGGCCTTGGCCTGAAAGAAGCTCTGAGTATGTGTTTACATCGTTACTACTATCAGTATTCAGAATTGGGGGTTTTTTGTTTGGTTGTTGTTGTTTGTTTTACAAGTTGACAACCTGATACAAAGGGTCAAACGGTTTTGCACAGTAAGTGAATCTCTCAACAGCAGATCTATGGATGGATTTTCCTTGTAGCGTTAAAAACTCTGGTTCTCAAGTTACCTGCTTGATGACCGGCTTACGCCAAAGCCATTACACAGCAGAAAGATTTTTCCCTACGACCAAGGACTTACCAATAATGTTCTCTCTTGGGAATAGCTTCTGTCGTGTCCCAGAGCCGCGCGTGTGAGATCACACGCTTTACCCTCTCCTCATAGTCCTCGAGCTGGTGAGCCGGGTCGTCAACGATGCTCAGCACCGACGGAGGCAAACCTTCCACCAGCTTCGTCTTGGTCAGCCACTGCGCTTGCCGAACTCCTTGAAACACAAACCGAGAAAACACGTATTACCGAGACAGCCGGGCAGGCTGGCGACAGGGCCGACCGCACAGTTCGCTCACGAGGCAGGGCAGGCTCTTCGCCGTCTGTGGGTTTGGGGTTTTTTTGCACTATGTGAGGAGAAACCTCGGCTGGCGGTGAAGGGCGAGTGCTTGGATGTGCTGGGGGGCAGGGCTGGGG